AGACATGAACCTGAACACACCTCATACATAACTCTCTGCTTTCGTCAACAAAAACATTATTTATAAAAATCATGCATTTATAAATTTATATTTAAAATATTAAACTAACATGAAAAAGAACACAACACGCAAATATACAGAACTACACCACGACTGTTCAGAACTGTGGGCCATACAACTGCTGCCTCATCTCAAGAGAAACATCTGCATGAAACCTCTATAAACAAAACAGCTGAGTGAAACCTTCAAGAATATATAGACAAAAGAAAAGAAATATAAAGAGAGACAAGACAAAAGCTAAAAGCAACCAAGAGCTCCCTCACCCTGCTCCTGACTCGATTGTCTTCGATTGAGATCCAGTATAGACTTACCCTGTAGAGGAGGGTGAGAGGCGGAAACAGAAAGGAGAAATAAGAAAATTAAATACAACAGAAGAGAAGCAACAAACAAACAGATGAAAGAAGGAGTTTTGTGCTTGTATACAGATCATGATGCAGCAACAAACAGCTGGGGGCGCCGCCTGCTGCCTCACGCGGAGGGAGTGACGAGGGTGCGGTGGAGCTCAGCAGCAGCTTCCTGCTGCTGCTTTCTGGGCGTTTTGTCTCTGAATTTGAATATTTTATTCGCTTTCCAATAAAATATGTTTTAACTTTTTTTTATAATTTAAAATTAATTCTCTTCTGAAAGCTTTCATACACTCTTTCCTGCTGTCGCTCCCCTACTTGCGCCCGCTTGGTCACCCCTTGCACGGCGTGCTGGCTCAGAGCCTCACCCCAGCACCCCACACCCAGCGCAGTTGCGATAAACTTTTCTGTGAAATTTAATTTATTAAATGCAGTAAAAACAAATTTAAGTGGAAATGAAGCACTCTCACAAACCCATTTTTATTGAAGTATCATACCCGTGTCCGCCCGCTGTATGGCCCCCTGTCCATTGGACTAACCAGCCCGGCTAAGCGGCTCAGGGAAAAAAAAAAGGTACAGTTAGAGCACTAGCAAAAATATGCAGCATAAAAACAATAAGTTGAAGAATATAGAAGAAATATTGTAAGAAAAATATGCAGTAAGAGCAGCCGCAAGAACTATGTGCGGTGACAGCCGTTACTGGAACAATGTGCACTAGAAGCAGTGGCAAGCACCACATACAATAGAACCAAACACAAAAACGAAATGCAAAAAAAATGTTATAAGACATTGAAGTATAGTGGTAGTCAATACAAGAGCACGCAAGAAAAGTAGTTTGTTAGAAGAAAGTTCAATAAATGCCGTAACGGCAAGAACATGAATAGAGAGAAAGTTTGATGCACGAAAATACATTGAAAGTAGTTGAATACAAGAACACGCAAATAAAACAGTTCATCTCAATAACTCAGAGTGAAGCTCAGTTACAGGGAAGTAAAGAAAAAACAGCTAGTTAGAAGCCAAGAAATAAATACAACTGCCTTCAATATACTGAGCTAAGATGAAATTCAGTGCAAACAGCAAACACCAAGGCGATATATGAAGGAGTGATCTGA